TTCTAGTTCTAGAACCAAAACCATTATTTTTTTTGTAGAACTGAGCCGCTTGATTTGATTCGGTTCTGGTTTAATCTGTTTGGCTAGGTCGTTTTTTCCACCCTAGTGGGATTCCCTTTGTAATGGGCCTATACTCCAAAAAATCTCCCAGACGATGCCCTAGGTGTTTGTTTAAATCTTATAGAGCTTTTTTATGTTTACAAACTTTTATTCATTTCAAAATTCCTCCAAATGGTATTTCTATATGAAACTTGATACAGTGCTTGAGACTTGGGGATTCATGATCCCAGATCCTGAGGCCCAGCAGGCCCAAGGTTGACTTAGGTTGTTTAGGGGCATCAGGTTTAAGTGATATGTTTGTCACCGTTGGCCATAGAAGGCTACAAACTGCTTTATCAACTTTTCCTAATGATTTTCCACCCATCAATTCTTGAATCTCTTTGTTTAGTTGTTCCTTCTCCTTTTCCTTAGCACAACCAGAAAAAGCTACAGGCTCTCATTCTGAAACCACCCTTAACTCGGATTCTTCGATGGAAAAATGCACCAACCTAACACCACCAGATCCTTAGATGTCTTAAACTTTGTCTTTCTATTGACTTTTCTAACATCCTGTCACCAAAGAAAACCATGCTGCCAAAGGAACGTATACTCCAATACTAATTATGACCTTATTAATCGAGTGGCCTACAATAACTTCAATGTATGTATATTTCCAGCCTCTACTGTTTCAATGTATGTAGCAAACTATATACTTCAATGTATGTAGCAAACTGTATTCATTCAACAACATAAAAAATACGTTAAAACGGTATGTATCTACTATTTATTAGGGAGATCAAAGAAACACGCATTAATCATACTAACTACCCTGACATCTATCCAGTTGAAAAATATATAAAAATGGTCATTCAAATACGTTGAAGTTTTACATTTTAGTTCATTGTGCAATCAAGCTAATGTGTATTAGAATCATCCAAGTAAAACGTGTTATTACATAAAATTGGGAGTTCATAGATAATGAGGGAACAGAGAGAGAAAGAGGATCAGGCAAGAGCTGGGTAGCCCTCTGCCAGTTGCTACTTTGGCCATGAGTGAGAGAAATGGGGTGGGGCTGGTATTTTGGATTTGGGTGAAAGATATTGGGCAGTAGAAGCCACAAAACGGTTTTTTGGTACTTACTAAACTGCCACCAGAAGCTAAAAACTCCAGGATTCTTCAAGCTTTAGGCATTTGTTAAGCCATAATTGAATTGCTGGAAAGCTAATAAGCTACACGGGAAACCTTGTGGAGCGGTTTTTTTTTTTTTTTCTAAATACACAAGGCAGCTTTATCACTGATCTGAAGCAATCACATACCGGTTGCGGTTGTTTCTGCTTAGTTCAATAAATGATGGAATCAAGTAGGAAAAGGATTGTGAATTCAACTGTTATTAGGATTTCATATTTTTCGATTTCTACTTGGAACCTTCCTGATGCACAGACTGTTATGATTGCACCTGCACAATGATAATTTACTGCTGTTTAGACTTCAGAGTTGGGGGTGACATGGAGACGGATTATTACATCTGTTCAAAGGAAGCAGCCGAGAAGGTATAGCACGAATAAATGGGGTATGGGGCAGGATAATTCTGCCTCAGACAGGTTCATTGAGTGGCACAGGGCAAGGCTGTCCCGCCTTATCCTATCTCAACTCCTGACCACGGGAATGGTCCCCCTGTGCCATAACCTCGCCATTGTATCTTATTCGGACTAGTTTTGCTTCAGTGCCCATAATTTTGGTCATACGTTTTCACAAACTTCTTTTCTGCGAATGCTCATTTGTGTGTACAGTTAATTTATTATGTATTTTGTTGTTGGGCAGAAACTATCATTATTAGAAGATGCACTGTGTAAAGCAGATTCTAATGATCCAGCAATTATTTCTGCCACTATCAGTGAGTTCTCGTTGGTACCAAATTTGAAAGAAAGGAGTCATTGCCACAGGTAAAGTATAATCTTGGATCTGGCATGTTAAAATCTATTTATGGGGGACTTGAGTATTGACAAAGAATCACATACAATATATGCATGAATTAAAAATGTAAATCTAATCATCATTGATAATTATCTCCACTCTAGCCACCCCCACTACTCAATCAAGCCTCTTAAGTTTGTGAATCAATCATGTTATGTCATTTTACCAATTCCACTTGGAGTATATGCATCTCTGTGATCTTTCTAAATGTGACTTCATTACTTTTGTGCCCTTTTAATGAAGAAGCCTTCATCTCATAGACCTCTTTTTCAAGCCTTTTACTGTGTTTCTTGCATGCTCAAAAATGTAAAAGACTTGCCAACGTCAATTTTTTTTTTTTTTTTACACCTTTTGCTTATGCAACCTGGCCACAACTCATTTCACAATCTCATTTTCTTGCGACTACATATGCAGGTTGAATGTCATCAATAAATGTTTTTGTCGGAGAACAGTTGAAGAGATTATATTAGCCCTCGTAAGTTGAAAAGGCGAATCCATACATGCAAATTATATGAGCCAATTTCAATTAATTTTATTAATGTTGCTGCATGCTCAAGCAATGGTTAAATTTTAACCTTTAATTGACCATTTTTTTTGTTTGTATATTTCTAGGAAAGGGAGGCTGCTGACAAGGAGGATGAATGGATCTCTTCAACACTTCAATCATTGAAGAAAGCGTCCCCTACCAGCCTTAAAATTTCTCTTAGATTAGTATGGTTCCTTGCTTTCATTCTTCATACTTTGTCTGATTTCTAAGAATTCAATTTCTGTGTCAAATTTTATATTTTGATTATAAAATAATGCTATCTAGCACTACCGGTGTTATAATATCAATGTGTTATTTAATAAGCTCAATGAAAGGTGAAATTAAGTTACTCATTTAACGTCACATAAGTGCTACCTAGACTCGTGTTTTAACACCAGGTTCTAAATAGCATTACTCTTGACACCACCGTGTGGGTGGAGTATTTATTCTTACTGAAAAGACAAAAAGGAAATACTTAGTTGAAGTTTTTGTTGGTGGGATGGAACTACAAGTTGAATTTAAGGAAAAAAAATTCGGAATTGGAAAGATCTTTACAGCTTTAAATATGTTAATTTGGTTTTCATGTACTATCCAGATTAGAGAAGGGAGGCTCCAAGGCATAGTTAAATGCCTTGTTCGAGAATATGGACTGGTTTGGACTGTCATGCGCGGAGAAATAAACAAGGACTTTTTTGAGGTGAATCAACTCAACTTGCACTTATGTACTGAGTCACCTGTAGATGTCTGAAGTCATCTTCAAATGCAGGGATGCAGAGCCATACTGTTGGACAAGGATAAGAATCCAAAGGTGTATGGATATTCTACTCGTTCTTGTATTTAGTCTTATGAATACACACACACACTCCTGTGTTCTTATTGAGACTTTCCTTACTCTGTTTCTTCTTTTCCAGTGGGAACCCTCCAAGCTGGAGCAAGTCACTGAGGATATGGTTGACCGCTACTTCTCGAAGATAAATGACGAGGACTGGGAAGATTTAGATCTCCCAAGAAGGTCGAACATTCCTCCACATGCTATTGCTAAACTCTAAATTTTATCTCAACAGCTCTGTGTCTCACACTCGCATAAATTATCCCAGAACTTGGTCTTGTAGGCCGATCTTTTTCTTTTATGGCTGTTTCTCCGACTTATAGTATTCAGACATATAAATAAATCCGAGTTGTAAAATTATATTGTGATGAACGCTACTCAAACAAATCTTTGTTGATTATACTTCTAGAGAAATAAATATATGATTATGCAGTAGTTGCAGAAATTATAAGTAGTCCAGCACATAAGGTACCATAAAGACGAGTTCTACCGTATGCTTGTAACACTAGTTGTAGAGTAGACGTCCCCTTAGACCGTTGTTGGGACTAAATTTAGAGGGCTATTTTCAGTAGAAGATTGGTTCGGTGAGTTATCCAACATTGTAGAAATCATTTTCAAGGCACTGATTGTAACAAATACTTCGTGAAAAGTCTATGATAGTTCATATTTCATCGTAGACATTCTTAAAAATCTTAATAGAACAATTTAAAGTGTGCAAACAAACAAAAGAAAAGTATATATATCCTATCATTTTAGTTCTTTGGACTATTTTTAAAGTGAATTAACGATAAACGAGTTTTTTAGTGGCCAATGAGGCATTCTAAATTTGAGTCCATCAGACTTTTCCGTGGTCATAAAAAGCTTTGAGGCATGCCTCACAAAATTGAAGCGTATACGTCCAAATATTACTTCACAATCAATCAGCGGTGAGGCAACTTCCTTCTTCTAGAAGCATTGATTAACCGCTGTTAATCATTAATTCTCCATTTAAACGGTTTAGATCTTGTCCTTTGAAATTCCTCTACTTTCAAATAACATTTTCACATTTCACTCTTTTACTTTTGCATCTCAAGCTTCCTAGATTTTGCTCCAAAATATTTTGGCTTTTTCTATTTTCTCTGAGTAAGGTCGTTGTCCAAGTATTCTTTTTCCAATTAGAATACCTCTCTTTTGAACGTATTTATTTTCTCCTCTTTTTGCTTATATGAGTTCGGACGAATCTCGAGTGTAGTCTTGGGGAAATCAACAGGAAGAAGCTGCACCATCTTCGTCCACTCCATCTTGTAGTCCTTTTTCTACCAGTTCGGACTGTTAGGAAGTGCTTACCCCCATCCCTATTGCCTTTTTTTTTTGTGTGTTTTAAAAACCACGATGGGTACATCAAACTAGTAAATGCATAGACATAGAATTGATCGACTACACAAAATAAAGATATGCGAGCTCGAGCGCACACCTAATTTTGCCTAAATTCAGTAGGTCTGCGACCATCAGTTTATTGAAAAAATTGTGATGTTGAATTGTAACGGCCTTGGCTTTATTACAAATATTGGCTGAAAAACAGTTGTTTGGTTTTAAATTTTTGGTGGATAAACTTTAATTTTGATAAATAATCTTTAATTTTGATAAATAACATTATTCTTTGAACTCGTGTAACACAAGAAACGTCATCAACGAAGGTGCTAGTAACCACTAATCGCTGGTTGGTCCGTCAACTATTCCTACTTTTTGTGTAGTGTTCCATAGTCAATCAAACCCGGTCTAATTCGAGATTAATTTCAATTTTGGTCACTAAACTTTCAGTTAAACTTCAATTGAGTTTTCCAATCATTAAACTTTAATTTACTTTTATTGTTAATCATTATGTCAGCCAATATTACTAAACTTAATGTCTCAATCTTATAAGAACGCTAAAAAAGGTCACATAATCATGTCATGATTAAAAATATACGAGAACAAATTATGTTTGAAATTGATATAAATCATCCGACGTAACGTACTGAGAGCTCTTTTCATCCTCAATTTCAATGTTTTTACAGTCACAACATATTTACGCGTTTTATTTACTAAGAAACGGTACTAATGTTGCTAGTGAGGCTAACAACGTGACAAAGATTAAAAAGCAAATTAAAATTTAATTGAGAGTTCAGTTACCAAAAAAATGAAATTAACCCTTCAACGGGGCAATGAGTAATTAAAATTTGCGTCTTTTTTATTTTGCAATATCTTGTTTGTTTATCAATTTTTCAACGAGTCAAATTTAATTTTAATCATATATTTTATGAGATTTACAATTTTTGTTAGTCCTTCAATTACATATTTCATCATTTTTTATCAATATTCACCAAAACTTTTATACACTGGATTCGATTTTTCTTGAAAGACGATTTTTTTAAATTAATTGAATATCATCCTTTTTTTAAAAAAGCAATATATTATCCATTTAATATTTTAATTATCGTCATTCACGACTTTGTCAAGCTTTAATTCAAAGGGGGAACAAATTTTCCTTTGAGCTAATAAAAAACAAAAAGCTACAAATCGTGGGCGCTGACTCGAGGGGCATAAAATCTCAATTTGATTTCAATATCTACAAAATCACTTTATTTTGATAAAAGGTTATATGGCTTAATTAAAGCTACTTTTAAAGAGTTAAAAATTGTTTCTATTGTTAAAAAATTGCTCTAAATATATTTGTATAATTTTTTGAAAATGATTTGTCTGATTATAATTTTTTTTAGAAGAATCTGATCTAACACGTCAAAAAACCACACGAAGTTTAAGTTTGTAAAATATTGTGACAAAAAATGTAAATGAAAAAAATCGATATAGTTTGTTTGAGTTTTAAATTACTGAGAATAGAGTAAATTTTTTTTTTTTTTTTTAAATCATGCAAATTGCTTGAAAATTCTCGTACTCCAATTGTAATCAACCTCTTATAATAGCTCAATATTTCACGTATTTTTTTAAAAACCATATTAATTTTTATAATTTTTATAAAAAAAAAAAGATTGAACGTCAACCTTGAGGGTCCCCCACCTCCCCTCCCCTAGAGTATTGTGGAAGAGGTAAATCATGGGACATGCCTCAACGGCTAGGATACAGAGTTGCCATACTGGTGCCCAAAAAAAGTCCAATTTCATACCTTATAAGAGATAAAAATCGAACTCTCACACTGCGACTGTCAGTTCAGCTGAAACTACCTAACTCCTATCATTTGTACCACTGAGCTATGCTCTAGAGGGCAATTTTAATAATTTCTAGGTTGCATTGGTGGTGGTTGCTCTTCCAACGTGATGCCATTGGACCTGATTAACAACTTGTTTATTCAATGGGAAACTTGAAATCATTAAAATTTAAATAACTAATTATTGAGAAATCATACGAAGGACTGTAACAATAAATAAATAAAATTTTAATTTCTTTGAAAGGAACAAAGAAAATATCTCCACCTAATGTCAACAATCTTTCTTCAAAATTATGCAAACGGGTCGATCTTCACCCCGCTTTCTTTAATCTTCTCCAATACGCGACTAATTACAATCGGAAGCCTGATTGTTTATGGGTACTCAAAATTAAAATTTTCTCCTAATCCCATCTTCTCGGAAAAATTAGAACACATACTTCGAAAGTTGTGATTGTGTTAGTCAATGAAGAAGGTGCATGATGTGGATGTTATGACCCCCATTTGATCGAACTTCTACTTTTATTTTTATTTCTTGTAGGAGAACTGCTATATTAGATCAACTTTATCTAAAAAATATTTTTTAGCCAGATCAAACATTCAAAAAAAATTATTCAAATATGTTAAATATAAACTTCTTAATCTCGTAAACAATTTTTAACTTTTCAAAAGTTCTGACAAATGGACCCTATATTTAACATAGAAAATTCTTTTTTGGAAAATACTAGAATTTCATGTTCCCCAAGATTGGGGGAGTAAACTTGACTCGTTATTTCAAAATGGGGAAGTAAACGACTCAAGTTTCCAACATATCAATTGACAACTGCCAACCACTCCTTCCCCAAAAGTCTTATATATGCATTTAAACCTATCCGTGTTGGGATCGGTTTTGAAATAGTATCCAAGTCAAAGAAACATGGGGGAGGAACGACCGAACGAGTATTTCATTAGCTTTATACTTTCCTCCTTTTTTTTTTGAAATAAAATGAAGTTTAATTTCTCAAGTTTGTTTACAAAATTATTAGTGAAAATTAAAGCACTTTAAATGGAACTAGTAAAGATGAAAGAAAATGCAATTTATTTATTAAAAAAAATAAAAGTGTGTTTTGCGAACAAGAGTAATGTGCAACATAACATAATAAAAAGTAAAATTTCTACATTTAATTACTTCGTGAGAGGAAATAAAATCACTCTCTAAGGTTATTTTTGGTACATCGTATCATGGTACCGATTCAATAAAAATAAATGCGAGCATGGAGCTTTTGTTGTTTAATAAAAATAAAGGTGGTTTTTGGTACATCGTATCATGGTACCATTAGCTAAACAATTTTTTTTTTTTTTTTGATAAATATCAAGGGCCATGACAAGGGCAGTCTCCAAGCAATGTCTCTTCAACCTTCTAACATTCAACTTATATTTTTGCAATGTAATGTGTATTAAGATTTATTTACATACAATTTTATATAATAATAAATATATTTAGTATATTACAAATGAAAAACATAGTTGACTTATTACTAAAAGATAGCTTGTAACTAACCAAGTATAAATAGATAAATGATCTCGCAAAATGCCCCCAGCGCACATCTCCAAGTGGTAAAAAGGGAATGTGGAAAAACTTCAACTTTGTTTAAGGTTGCCGCATCAAGGGTTCGAATCCTGAAATATGGATTTGACCCTTGAGTAAGTGTAAGTGTACAAGCAGCCTTCCACCCTATACACTTGGAGGCATAACCTGCGATTCAACTCTTTCACCAAGGCCCAGGGCAGGGCAGGGCATGGCAGGTGAGGATGCAGTTCATCCTTTTGATAAATGATCTCACAAATATCGATGCTTAATTTATGTAAAGCACAGACCATCGGTAGCATGACACAAAAATTAATGATGAATAAATTTGTGATAGGTCTCAATAGTTAAATTATTCACCAATTAATTGATGTATCATTTTACCGGTGCTTAGTCGTACTTTGGAGGTTATTTGTTGGCATATATACAGATTAAAATGTGGCTAGCTAGCTAGTATAATTAAAAAAGGCAC